GGTCCATTAAGTCATATACGTCCACCGCGACAGGACCCAAGTCAGTATGACGGTCGCAATGCTTAATGGAAAAGGGAAAGAAAAGAACAAGACGGATGAAAAGAAAGGGAAACGCTGTGATTGTGAGATTAGCGAGAGAGAGAGAGAGAACGGGGTGAAAAGGGAAAGGAAAGGAAGGAGAAAAGAAGGTTTTTGAAAAAAGTTTTTAATTTTAATTTTAAAAAACTTATTTAAAAAAAATCTTGCCAGTTGTATAAATGCAGAACTATACTATAATTGTGCTGGAGAAACAACTGTTGCAAGTTTTTCAGGCATGCAGTGATGTTGTAGCAGTGCGCAGGATCTGTTCTTTGAGTATAATTAGTGTGTATTTTCATGAGCTTTAAAACCCAATTCTCACCCCTCCAATTCAACATCTCACATAAACATGCAATTTTCGGTCATTCCTCCCCCATCAACAATTTGACTTAATTACATTTAGCATGCTTCATTTTATGACTGGTGCATACTTGTTACCACATTCTTATTACCACATTCGCAGAAGGAAGGACGTTAGCTGGGATGAAAGTAATGCATTATAGAGCCGTACGGACTTCCAGGTACATGATTACCGGTTTTTTGTATGAAGCGCGGTCGTTTTTTCAGTAAATGCTCGCTTTCATAAATCTATTGCAAATTATTGACATATGAGATTTATTGAAATTTGTTGGATTTGAATTTTTATTGATATTTACAGAGATCTACTTCTTACATCGCTTGTGGATGGTGCACGAGCAGCCCGAAACTATTGTGTGTTTGTGATGTGTACAAAATTGGATCGTGCACTACGTCTTATACCGTACAAAGTTGTACTGGACGAAGAGAGCGAAGGCCAATGCATGCGCCATATCATACAGCCACCACGTTAGTAATTGTTTTTTTTTTTTGAGAAAAATATCAAAGTTTGAAATTTCAAATTCTAAGTTTTTCAAGGTTTTTCAAAGTTTCTAAGTTTTTTTTTTTCGAAAAATAAACTTTTATCCGCAGCTATGAATTTCTATTCTTAAATTTTAATTTTAAATGCAAAATGTCAGTTTGCCCCCAAACCTTGCCACCCCGGTGCCAAACGGTGCTAGCATTCGATACCGCGATGTAGCGTTAGCAGAGAAGCTAGAACACCCCTCAGTAGCAGCCGAGCTGAGCCGAGTTTTTGTATTAGCCCAAGAAGTGCTTGTATGTCGTGAATAACACTACCTCGATCCAAATTTTTACCAATCCTAGAACACGGTGAGTTATTGAGGAAATCTTTTTCACGTAAAAGGCAGTACGGCCCTCAAAGGCCCTCTAAGGGAATGGAAGGAGGTAGTTACCAGAGCCAGGGAGAGCGGCCCATTCTGCGAAGGGTATCGATCCTAACTAAAAATATATTGAATGTTGGTTTTTGTAGCTGGTTTGAAAAGGTACGATTTAATTCGACGATTTAACGCAAATGTACCGTACGATGGACTCACACACCCCGACATATCAGAGGTATTTCATTTTTTTTGTCATGGAAAATATGTCTGAATTATTTTAAGTTCCGAGGACTTATGTGAAATCGAAGGGCGAAACTCTTCCGTATTTCCTTTCTTGGAAAATTTCTTGCTTTTTCGCTTTTCAAAATGAATTTTTGAATTGTAAAAGTTTATTTGCTTATGGGATTAGTTGTTTGTAGCTTTTCTGGAATATTTCGCAGGGATTTTTCACTGAGAGCAAGGAGAAGACGATCGTTGGTTGTGTGGAATCGGTTGTTGCCGAGAATTTTGCTCAAGAAATCCACAAATGCGAAGCTCAATTGCAGTGCCTGCGCCGTCTTTTTGCATCGAAAAGTGGTTTCCGAGCTTTCACTACAGTTCCAGGGTATATTTGTTTTGTTTTCTCCGATAGCTTAGCTTTTAAGTGCAGACAAACACACACACATACGGACGTTTTCGCAGACAAAAACAGACACACACATGCACACGACTAATCCAAATGCATGCATGTGCAGGCCCCTATCCCCATAATAGACACGCTTGCCCACGTGGTTCCCACGTACGGATCCGTGAAAGTTTTTTTGCGGGTAAGCTGCTAACTCGAGAACCTGAAAAGTTAAAAAGCTAAAATTTCGTACATGTATACATACGTACATACACATACGTGTGCATATAAATTAAGCTAAAATCAGTATTAAGCTAAAAACAGAAGCAAAACTTTAAAAAGATGGTTGTTTTCGTTTTATCCTGAAATACGTCGCAGTTGCTAATCGAAAGCCATTCCATTTATTTTCCAGGATTCGTGAAAAATTAGGCGATTTAGTGATCCGGATGCTGAACATATCGAACGAATGCATTGATTATGCGACCGTCGAGATGCTCTGCTCATTGATGCAGCCGTTACATCGAAACAGCGAACTAAAGCTGGAACAACTGAACAAGCAATCGTTGCTTGCTACGCCCCAATTCGTGGAACATTTGCTGGATTTGATTGTCAAGCATGTGGTACTCATTGTTTTTTGTTAGTGATGAGAACAGAGTATTGTTAATTTCCTTTCAGTTACAGCCTTTTTTAATAACTCTATAAAATATTCAGTGGCAGAATTCACCAAATTTTTAACAACAGTAACAGTACAAAGGGCATTAGTGGTAACCTTTATAATAATAATAGTAGTAGTAGTAATGATAATGGTAGTAATAATAATGATAGTAGTGATAATAACAACGGTGATAATAATAGTAATAATAATAGTGGTTTTATGAATAATGATAGCAGTGACGATAATAATATAATGAGAAAAAAGAACCTCATTTATACGTTTTCAGTATTCTGATAATACCCTTTCGGGAGTGTTCCAATGAAATTTTTTTGATAATTGGCCAAAATTTCTTCTTTCTAGTGAATTCTCACCTTAAAATTTCTTAGCGCTATAAATTTCAATGCTTTGTTTTGGGATTTTGTTACTTTTTTTTTCCAGGAACGAAGAACGGGTGCACTGGTAATTGGCAGTATGCTTGATTTTCTCACTTACGCAATTTGTGCACCATTCAGCGAAACAACACTGGGCGCGATATTCGATTCATTGCTCGAGATGGTTGCTGCACGTGGGCCAAGCTTCTATCGGCTTTTTCAATATCCCTCAATGACCATTGTTAAAGGTCCTTTTTTTTCCCCTTTTTCTAAATTTCACGAAAGTAGCCCATATGGACGGTGATCGATCAATATTTGTGTGATGATTCATTGGTATTTCGTTGGAGTCAAAAAGCTAGGAAATAAGACGTGATTGGCATGGCGCCGTGGCAAACAGCACAGTTTTTTGGAGGGAGTTCTGTTCTTTGCCAGAGGAAAAAGCAATTTCAATAGAAAGTTATAATATAAGTGAATGAAAAAAAAGGAAAAAAGAGAAAAAAAGAGAGTAAGAAATGAAAATTGGGAAATTTATGAGATTATTACAAGATAAGAAGTGTTTTGGTCCATTAAGTCGTATACATTTCTCGCCATTGCCACAATTGAACCTCGTCAGTACAACGATTGCGGTAATTAGAGTTAGTAGATATTAAGATTAGACGGATTACCGAATTCTTTTGCAGTCTTCCTGGTCCCCGCTTGCACTTCTTTCACACAGTTTTTATCCAGTTTTCTTATTTTACAGGGTGTTCTACTTACTGCATGTTCCACCTTGCTGAGAGCCATAAGCTGATACAGAGGGCCGGGGGACAAATGAGTGAGCTTAGCAATAAAGGGCAAAAACAAGTTTTTATGAAAATTTTTGCAAAAAATTTAGCCTTCCTTTTTCAAAACATTTTCACTTCAGGTTTTTTTTTTCAATTAATGCTTGCATTTCATGTAAGATAATGGCAAATTTTAGGTGCCGGTATGGTGATGCGTGCTATTATTGAGGAATCAACGGTGGATATCTCGAAACGGATGCAAATGCTTTCGTTAACAGAGGGAGCATTTCTAAGACATCTTCATATGGCCCTGCTCAGTGTTGGCCGTGATCTTCGTGTTCTGGCAAACAGGCAGCTCAGCGGTTATTTGCTATCGTTGTGGATTGCCGATAACGATGCAGCTGTGGATCTTTTATCACGATGTTTGGTGAATTTTTGTGTTTCTTGTAAAACTACCAGTTTTTTTTTTTGTGTTTTTTGCATCTGTGCAACGCAAAAACGCAGATTGTCGAAGGGCTGTGTGTGTATGTGTGTGTGTGTGTGTGTGGGTGTGTGTGTGTATTTGTGTCTGTGTGTGCGTCTGTACCGAGTTTTCATCTCGAGGCCTACAAAAGCTACAAGACTGAAATTTTGGCAACTTAATCTGAACGTATGTACGGGCCTCTATCCCTAAAATGGGCGCTCATACCCCACGTAGTTCTCTCGTGCAAGCCCATGAAAATTTTTGGCGGGTAAATTGGTAACTTGGTAATCAAAAAAGTTAGGAAGTTGAAATTTTAAGGCGATGTTTTCCATCCACGAAGGACCTAATGATTTCAAATTCTGCTTCCGGGTATGTGCGATCCTGATGCAGAAGCCTATAAAAACTTAATTTGCTAAATTGGGAACCAGAAAAGCTAGAAAGCAGAAATTTTAGGATGTTTTCTTGTCCATGTAAAACTTAGAGATTTCAAATCCAGACCCCAAATATATGTGGTTCTCATGTATGAGATCGTGAAAATTTATTAATTAGTAAGTTACTAACTCGAAAATCAGAAAAGCTAGAAACTTAAAATTTTAAGGGGATGTTTTCTGACAGTTGTCGTGGCCAGTCTTAATTCTTTTAGCTAGAAGCATCTGTTGGAAAAAAAAAACAGTGACGTTAATGACAAAAACTTGCGGAGAGCTATGCAAAAAGCGCATCTTCATACCGGCAGTCGTTGTGCTGGCCAATTACCGCTAATTCTGAAATTCTAGTTATTGTCGAGAGTTGATTTTTGTTATTTGTAATTTTATTAAAAAAAAGATATGTCTAGCATATCTGTTTACAGGAACTTATAACAATTAATTTTTCACAATTCTTCCGTCTTTGATTTCATTGATTTTTCCAGCCTCGTGGATTGCTTGATTATTTGGAGTCTATGGCGAAGCCTAATGGTACCGAAATAGACTATTTACAGCCACGAAACAACTTGGAAATAGCAAAATCAGAAACAAAACAAAGTCGAATAATGGTAAATTTTCATGATTTGGCACTTTATAATGAAGAGAAATTGTTGTTTTCCAGTACTAATTGCTTCTTTTGGCCCGATTTGGTTTTCCTACTTTTCTCAGAATTCTTTTTTCTCGATATCTTTTATCAGTTATCGCGGTTTTTTCTGTTTATCAAAGAGTAACTGATAATAGCTTGTAACGGTTTTTGAATATCCGTTGCGTACTTTCAGGAACAGGTACAGCAAATGCAAATACAGCTGGAAGCAAAAGTTGAACATTTGATGCAACATTGGAATTTACAATATAAATTATCTCTAGTTCATAAAACGGACGTAAGTTTTTTGATATGCTTGTCCTCTTTTCCTTGAAAATCTGAAATATTAAATTGTGTGTTAAGCATATTTGTTCCAGCTGCTTATGTATAAAAAACGAGATTGCCAAGGTTGTCCAGACAGAAGGCATGGGGTATCTTGTTATGATTTTGTTAATGATTTGTTGAAATTAATGATTTTGACGATTTTGTTAATGGTTTTGTTGAGGCGCTCACACATGTCTGGGGCTTAGTTATGCCAGGTCCTTCATTCCTGAGCTGCATACCTTCATTTAGTATCTACCGCCTTTTTAATATTTGTACGTCTCCTTTTTGAAACGCGCCGGAATGGGCTCAACTACTTTCTTGCGGATAGCCGAGTTTTTATTTTTTAAATAATTAAAAAGCGTATAAAATTATTTATGATGTTTTAAATCAATTACATTATTCAAAACCGTCCATAGTACGCTTAAATTTTAACTTTTTTTTTGCAGCTGTAGCATTATACATTAATTTTATTTAAAAAAAAAGGAAAATATTATAACTGTGTATTAACTATTAATTAACTATTGCTTAATTGCAGCCACTTAATTTTAACTGTTAATTATTCACTCACTATGTATTATAACTATGTGTAAATTTTTGCTACTGTTAATATTATGTATTAAATTTATCAACTATTTTATACATTGAAATTACTAGCTCCAGCTTATCAGTACCCAGTGTTATTTAACTTTTTTTTGAATCTTTAATGCAAAGTTTTCAAGATTACGTGAGTACCCCTTCCAGTAAGGATATAAATGTTAGAACGGGGATACAGGAATCCCTGAATAAAATTAATGAATATAGGTTGTTTTTGCAGGATTTGGGTCCAGTGGTGCTACGTAAGAGGCGACAGCGAATAAAAAGTGGAGTGAATTGGAAAATGTTTTGCTTCCAGTTCGCGAAAGATCATTGTAAAGTTCGTTTCTTGGTCTATTCTTAAGAATTTTGAATAATTTCATTCATGTGTTTTTTAAGAAAACTCGATATTTTTTTTTAAAGGCGGATTTGATATGGAATGAAACGACACGTGAAGAGTTTCGTCGTTCGGTTGAGGATGAATTACGAATACTGGAACAGGAAAAAGAGCTCGCACCCAGCAATATACCTATATCATGGAATCATACTGAGTTTCAGGTACTTTCGTAATCGTTCCTCAGACCCTCACCGTTTAAGACATAATATTGCTACCGTTATTGCTACCCATATCTATCATAATCGCCAATTTTTCTACTTTAGACAGTACTAGTTTGCACTGTCCAAGTATATTTTGGGTTTTTTAGTCAACTGGTTTTGCCCCGTAGTTTCTTCTTTGCTAGTTTGTCCAGGCGGATAAAATCGGCGGTTATCTTTCCTCTTCTGGATCTTTTCTTCAGCTATGCCTTTAAGCAGAAAAAGCACTGACGTATTTCGCGTAGGAAAAATGTGAGCAGTTTGATCGAAAGGTGCAAAATTTAGCAGAAAAGGTATTTTTTTTTTGTCAAAATATGCAGAGATTTGGTCCAGAAAGAAGTGAAACCCAGCTCCGCTCTTTTCGGATCATTTGAATCGTGACATGTAAACCATTACGCTGCTGGTTTCTGTGCTGCAAATTCAGTATTCGGACCCATTAATGCATACGTATAGTACCTATACAAATACCCACTTACAGTGTCCAGATCATTGACCGATCCAGACCCCCCCCCCCCCCCCCCCCCCCCCCCCC